GGCGGGGTCCTCTCAGCCCAGCCTGCACCCTCTCCAATCTGGGACCCCTCGGACATCCCTCTCACAATCTGGGACCGCTGGCTCCTAACTGCTCACCTGCCTGCCTGATCACCCCTAACCGCCTCTGCCTGACGGCCTGATCACCCCCAACTGCCCCCGCCTGCCCGCCAACCGGTCACCAGCAGTGGGCACCGAGTAGCTGTGCCCCTGCCAACAGGACAGGCACCCCTCCACTGGCCACAGCCCCCTCCCCAGGGGCGGTAGCTGCAGTCACCTGGCTTGCTTGCCCCCAATGCCCGGGAAGAAACCCAGTGAGCAGTGACCCTGTCGCAAAGTGGCCAGGACAGGCAGGAAGAGGAGGCAGGAGGAGAGGGTTGGAAAGGGACAGTCATGCCCAGTCTTTCCCCTGCCCTGTGTGAGCTGACCCTGATGTGCCCTCTTTCCTCCTTCCTCGCCGCCGCATTGCTCTTGTGGCTTCCAAAAACCCCGTTCGGGGTTGCCAAGAACACCCCCACATGCTGGCCACGCGCGCTGGCTGGGGAGCCAGAGCAATGCTCAGAGCTGTGGTTCGGCAGCAGCCTGTCACCTGGCCTCTGAGGAGCCAGACAACTGATTTATGGGACGCAGTGACATCACCAAAGCCCAGAGGCGGCCCTGCGGCGGGAGAGACATTGGCACCCCCTGAGGCCCCGCAGCAAGGATTCCGTCCCCCTTCTCTGGGGAAGGCAGTCATTCATGTGCAGAGGGGGAGTTCTTGCTTTGGTTAAAAGGATCGGTGCCGTGGGAGAGATTAATATTTGAGTCCCCCTGGGCCTGGTGGATGTGCCCGTGGCGGAGGTCACACCTGGGGCCAGGCCCAGGCCCACCTTGGCGAGCTGGCCCCTGGCGGAGGGAGCAGTGAGCAGCGTCTCCCAGCAGCCCGGCTCCAGCACCCACGTGGGCTCCCATTTCCTCTCTGAGAGGTGAAGCTCCTTCTCCAATCCCTTCCCAGATCCCAGCCCGTCATGTGAGCCCACAGCTGCCCGCCGCTCCCCACATCCACCCCCCATCCGTCATGGGTGTGAGCAGCACCAAGCCCCCCTGCCCCCCGTCCCAGTGGGGAGACTCCTGGGTGTTGCAATGGACAGTCTCGTGTTCACCGGAGATGAGTCACGGGCTTGATGAGGAGCAGGTCTTCTCTGAGCTGGAAGGGGCTCGGAATGTCATCCGAGAGGGAAAATCCTGAGAAACACATCCCGGCTTCGTGTGAGGAAGAGCTTTCTGAGACGCGGAGATGTCCCCGAGAGAACCCCGGAGTGTTGTCCCGGGAGGGGGCTGGGGGTCGGTGGGCTCCCTGTCCCTGGAGGTGTCCCAGCAAAGCTGCGGGGCTGCATCCAGGGTCCCAGGCGCCTCTTCAGCACCCACGCCCATGAACTCACCGCAAGCAGCCGGGAGATAAGAAGAGATGACTTCTCAGTAAGGGCTGTGCTGTGTAATCATGGGTGACAGAGTCCGCCAGGGCGGGGTTCGAGAAGGAAGGGGAGCAGAGGAGGTGGCCGCGCTGGCCTGGGCCGGACCCAAGTTCTCAGCCGGTGAAATCAAAGGCTGGAAGGATAAGGCCAAGGCACAGAGGTGAACTGTCCTACGGGCCGCGGGGTCAGGCGGACTCCTGTCGGCTCAGGTCAGAACTCAGGTGGGAAACAGTGTACGCAGAGCCTTGGTCCTCATCTCTCACTCCAAGGTCCTCATACCTCACTCCAGGGTCCTCATCCCTCACTCCAAGGTCCTCATCCCTCACTCCAGGGCCCTCATCCCTCACTCCAGGGTCCTCATCCCTCACTCCAAGGTCCTCATCCCTCACTCCAGGGGCCTCATCCCTCACTCCAGGGTCCTCATCCCTCACTCGAGGGTCCTCATCCCTCACTCCAGGGTCCTCATCCCTCACTCCAGGGTCCTCATCCCTCACTCCAGGGTCCTCATCCCTCACTCCAGGTCCTCATCCCTCACTCCAAGTCCTCATCCCTCACTCCAGGTCCTCATCCCTCACTCGAAGGATCCTCATCCCTCACTCAGGGGCTCATCCTCACTCCAAGGGTCCTCACCCCTCACTCCAAGGG